TATCTTCTGTGTATTATATATATATATATATGTAGTCTCTTTGTTCCATCTACATAAAATCTCTTCCTAAGGATTTCTTTTATCCTCAAGAGTAAAACTTTAATGTCTCAGTCTTAAAACTGGCATACCTAGCCGGGTGCTGGTGGCTCACACCTATAATCCTAGCTACTCAGGAGGCTAAGATCTGAGGATCACGGTTCAAAGCCAGCCTGGGCAGAAAAGACTGTGAGACTCCTATCTCCAATAAACCACCAGAAAACCGGAAGTAGTGTTGTAGCTCAAGTGGTAGAGCGCTCGCCTTGAGCTGAAGAGCTGAGGGACAGCGCCCAGGCCCAGAGCTCAAGCCACGACCGACCAAAAAAAAAAACAAAAAACTGGCATACCTACTAGTCCAGTGCCCCAAGTCTATAATCCTAGCTACTTGGGAGGCAGAGATCAGATCAAGATTTGAGGCCAACACAGTTTTTGAGACTCCATCTTGACCAATTGTTGAGTCTGGTTGCATTTGGCTGTTACACCAGCTAACACAGGAAAGCATAGGGGGTAGGGCTAGTCTCTGGTACTTGTCATCCCTAGTGACACAGGGAAACACCATAGGAACTAAGTTGGGCTGGGAGATTCAGCCTGTCTCTTGGAGAGAACTCTAAGAAGAGGATTAGCAAACAGACTCTGGCAGAGAGGGCAGTTTGTTTCATTAAGAGAAAGGCACTCTCCACCAGTACAATAAACACAGTAGTAAGATTGGAGAGAACTGACTCTCTGGTCCTCTGGGAATTTGTGGTCTTTGATAAGGAGTTTGGACTTCATTCTAAGCACTTTGACAATGAAAGTCTTCTCGTTATTAAAGATAATGAAATCATTAATGAAGAGTAGTTATATAACCTTTTTTTTTAGCGCCTTTTTGCTTAGCGCCAATGGTTTGGCTAGGAGAGTGAGTTTGAAAAGGAGAAAATGAAGAGATTATGGATATATTGTTCTAGAAGTTCCTGTAGGTAGATAAAGAAGCAAGATGATATTTGGCTTGTGCAATTGTTTGCCAGTTATGATGAAGGTGGGAGGAGGAAAAGATTAGTGAGAATCAATTTATCTTTTTTTTTTTTCAGTCTTGAGGCTTGAACTCAGGGCCTGGGTACTGTCCTTAAGCTCTTTTGTTCAAGGCTAGCACTCTACCACTTTGAGCCACACCGCCACTTCCTGTTTTCTGGTGGATAATTAGAGATAAGAGTGTCACAGACTTTCCCAGACATTCAAGTGAAGTTAACAGTTTAAGGAAATTATCAGGGTACAAGCTATAAACTTTGGAGCTATTGTAGCAATAATATTTAATGCTGTGGATCTGTAAAGGTTAAAAGAAAGCAATGGGTACAGAGAGGAGCTCTCTGGGCTTATAAACTGAACAATAGCCTGGGGGAAGAGAAAACATCAAAGGTGATAAGAATGGCTGGATTTGAACTCAGGGCCTCAAGATTCTCAGGCAGGGGCTCATGACCCACAGCCCCTCTTTGTTGAATTTTTGTTGTTGTTGTTTTTAGAGAAGCTTTAAGATTTAAAGTGAAGTGCCTGTTGAATTTCATAATTAAGGTAGTTGTTTTTTTCTTACAGATGGAAAATTGTGATACTCTGATTCTGTTATTCCTTTTTTTGTGTGGGTATTGGGCCTTGAATTTGGTCTTGGCATTGTCCCTGAGCTTTTTCACTCAAGGCTGGTACTCTGCCACTTGAGCCACAGCTCTACTTCTGCTCTTGTGGTAATTGGAGATAAAGAATTTCACAGACTGCTTGGACTGGCTTCAAATGTTGATCCCTAGATCTGTCTCTGAGTAACTAGGATTATAAATGTGAGTCACTGGCTCCCAGCTATTATTCCTTCTTTATTTATTAACTAAATGTGACATCTTTAATAGAGCCAAGAAGAGTTGTTGGAACAATTATTTGCATTCAATATAAAGAGAATCTTACCAGGCTTATGAGTTAGTCACATGCAGTTACTTTAAACATATATGTGTTCAATGACTGCTTAAAAACAGTAAGCATTGGGTTGGGAAGGTGGCTCAGTGGTAGAGCGCTTGCCTTGCATGCCTGAGGCCCTGGGTTCCATTCCTCAGCACCACATAAGCAAAAAGAAAAAAGCCGGAAATGGCGCTGTGGCTCAAGTGGTAGAGCGCTAGCCTTGAGCTGAAGAGCTGAGGGACAGCGTCCAGGCCCAGAGTTGAGGCCCCATGACCGGACCCCCCCCCCAAAAAAAAAACAGTAAGCATAGGAAGCATTGCACATAATTGTAATTGTGTAATATGAAGTCTGGTCAGTTGTTGGAGGAAGACAAAACTAAAGGTATCCTGTTCTTCTATTCTTTGGTTCTGAATGAATGGGACAGTTTGAAAAGAAAAAACAAAAACATACTTTACTCTTCAAGTGTTCAAAATAATGAGCTTTTGTTTTGTTTGGTTTTAGTGTCTATTATGGCCAAGTAGTTTATACTTTCAGTGTCATGTACTTGGGACTTTTAAGTATATCTGGTATATTTCAGATTGTATAGTTACTGTTCTTTTTTTATTTTATTTATTTGTTTTTTAGTAACTGTTCTTTTTGTTTTGTTTTGTTTTTGTTTTTTGTCGGTCATGGAGTTTGAACTCTGGGCCTGGGCGTTGTCCCTCAGGTCTCCAGCTCAAGGCGAGCACTCTACCACTTGAGCTACAGCGCCACTTCCGGTTTTCTGGTGGTTTATTGGAGATAGGAGTCCCTGCCCAAGCTGGCTTTGAACCGCGATCCTCAGATCTTAGCCTCCTGAGTAGCTAGGATTACAGGCGTGAGCCACCAGCGCCCGGCTAGCTACTGTTCTTATGGATTGTCCTCTTGTACTAGTAAGGTCAATGGGAGCCTATGATTGGATTGTCTGCATTAATAAAATGTTCTACTATCTAGTGTATGATGAATCTCAAACTTACAATTAATCAATTCTTAAACAATACTAGGGGGAAGCTGGGCATTGGTGGCTCACACCTGTAATCCTAGCTACTGAGGAAGCTGAGATCTGAGGATCACCGTTCACAGCCAACAGGGGCAGGAAAGTCTGTGAGACTTCTCCAATAAACCACCAGAAAACTGGAAGTGGCACTGTGGCTCAAGTGTTAGAGCACTAGCCTTGAGCTGAAATGCTGAGGGACAGTGTCCAGGCCCAGAGTTCAGGCCCCACGACCGACAAAAAAAAATACTAGGGGAAGGGAAGGGATAGTGGGACAACAACAAGGGAAGGGCTAACCATGATCTATAAGTAGTATGTTCATTGCTTTACTCATATAACTGTAGCCCCTCTGTACAGCATCTTTACAATAAAATTTAAAAAAATTTAAAAATACAATAAGCTGAGTGCTGTTGTCTCTCATTCTTGTAATCCTAAAATATGAGGATTGCAGTTTGAAATCAGCTGGGGTAGGCAAGTCTGTGAGAATCTTATCTCCAAAAAAACTACCAGAAAAGGGCTGGGAAGGTGGCTCAGTGGTAGAGCACTTGCCTTGCATGCCTGAGGCCCTGGGTTCCATTCCTCAGCCCCACATAAGCAAAAAGAAAAAAGCTGGAAGTGGCGCTGTGGCTCAAGTGGTAGAGTGCTAGCCTTGAGCTGAAGAGCTGAGAGACAGCGCCCAAGCCCAGAGTACAGGCCCCATGACCAGACCCCCCCCCCAAAAAAAAAAAAAGCCAGAAGTGGAGCTGTGGCTCAAGTGTTAGAGCACTAGCCTTGAGCAAAAAGAAGGTCAGGTACAGAGCCCAGCCCTTGAGTTCAAGTTACAGGATTGGCATTTAAAAAAAGAATATAATATTTAGAGATAATTGTTCCAGATAATTGTTCCTGTTTTACTCCCCTCTCTCCCACCTGCAAGCCTTGCCTCACTTTATAACTGGGCTGACCTTGACAGTTTGTTGCCTCAGCTTCTAGATTGCTGAGAATCTAGGTAAGTTCCTAGATGCCTAGCCACTAGTTTGTTTCTGTGTCTATTGAATCGTAGACTGAGGGCCTGGGCATTGCCCTTGAGCAGTTTTTTGATCAAGGTTGGTGCTCTACCACTTGAGCTACAGCTCCACTTCTGGTTTTCTGTTTAGTTTTTGGTGGTTAATTGGACTCACCTGCCTAACCTGGCTTTGAATTGGGATTATCAGATCTCAACCTCCCGAATAGTTTGGATTATAGACATAAGCCACCAGCACCTGGATCACTCTTTTATTTTTTACAGTAGCCTATCAGACTTATTGTATATCCTTTCAAATATTTGGTTTGGTTTTTGGGATATGAATTTTCCTATTTCTTTTGGCCTTTTACTTGTATGATTTAAGGCATGTGGGGAATTCTTTTTTGCTTTTGAAATCAGAAAAGTATTAACTATTTGTTGCTGTTTTTAAATTTTTGTTTCTCTACAGCATTTGGGTTTGTTTAGAGTGGGAGGTTAGCTTGTTGTTAAGTCCCTCTATTGTTATTCCAGTTAATGTAACAACATTCTTTTATGTCAGTTATTATTTATGGCTTAAGTGAAAACTACTTAATGTTATAAAAATATGTAGATGTTCTGTTTCACTTTTTTTGTAACTTTAATATTCTATGTCTAAGGTCAGTTTTTCTTCTGCATATTTTACATTTCAATATGAAATTCAGGAAGAAAGCAAAAAGGAATGAGTTTTTTTGTTTTCCTTTTCTAATATTTCTCCATTTAAAGTCTGGAAACAGGAGTTAAAAGGCAATAAAGGTTGTTACGAAATTGTTTGAACTTGTATGGAATGAAATTAAAGCTGTCAAATGAAGAAACTTCTTAGCCAAGATTTCTCCTACTTCATGTATTATGTGACTGAATTCTGTTATTTATCTATATGAGTGTGGGAACATATATAGATGTAGTTTTAAAAAATATTCCAGGAAACATACTGCCATTGAGAAAGTAAAAGGAAAACAATGAGAACTGAGCAAACAGTTCTTGGTAAGCCCTAAAATATATCACTTTTATTCATCCATACAGAAAACAAGCATGAGGCCAAGAGGAGGCGAACAGAGAGAGTTAGGAAAGAGAAGATAAATTCAACAGTAAATAAAGATTTAGAAAACAGAAAGAGATCTCGAAGTAACAGCCATTCAGATCATATCAGACGAGGAAGAGGAAGACCTAAAAGTGCATCTGCCAAAAAACATGAGGAAGAAAGAGGTATGAATAAATCCTTGCAGCTTTTTTTTGAATCTTAAATTGATCAGAGATTATTAATTAGATAGCAATGAAGAGAGTGGTAACTTTGAAGTCTTGGACTTACAATCAAAACTCCTACTTTAGTTTTAAAATATTTGCGGTAGATGCTAAGTTAAAAACAAGCCAACAAACACAGTGCTCATGCCTGTAGTCCTAGTTCCTCTGAGGCTGAGATAGGATTTAGGTTCAAAGCCAGTTAAGGCTAAATAAATAAATAAAATTCCTTGAGACTCTCATCTCCAAATAACCAGCAAAAAGCAGAGCTAGATGTATGACTCAAGTGCTTGTAACCCAGCAAGTATATCTTGCAAACTCAGAGTCCTAGGTTTAAACTCTAGTCACTTCAGAATACCCTTTGGAAAACAAAAGGGTAAAATCTACTTTGCTATAGACTGATGGTTGTAGTGTTTAGGAATAATTCTTTTTTTTTTTTTTTTGTGGGGGGGTCCAGTCATGGGGCCTGAACTCTGGGCCTGGGCGCTGTCCCTCAGCTCTTCAGCTCAAGGCTAGCGCTCTACCACTTGAGCCACAGCGCCACTTCCGGCTTTTTTCTTTTTGCTTATGTGGTGCTGAGGAATCGAACCCAGGGCCTCGAGCATGCAAGGCAAGCGCTCTACCACTGAGCCACCTTCCCAGCCCTAGGAATAATTCTTTGTATTATATCCACTAAAATGAATATATGACATCTATTGAAATGCTTGTAGGTTTTTTTTTAAAAGAAAGGTACAAGACTTACTTCAAGCTGCTATAATGTGAGTAAAGAAACTTTACTACTTAAGTTCTTTTTGGAATCCATTTTTAAATTGCTTATTGGGAGATTTTCATACACCCTAGATTGAGCAGCTTTTGTATAGTTTAGGTGAATTATTTTTTGTTTTTCTGAGATTTTTTTTTGTGTGTGTGTGCTAGTACTAGGACTTGAACTTAAGACCTTGGCCTCTTAGCTTTTTTGCCCAAAGTTGCATCTCTACCACTTGAGCCACAGCACCACTTGTGACTTTTTTTTGGTGATTAATTGGAGATTAGAGTTTTATTTAGTTTCCTGTCATGGACAGCTTCAAACCTTGATTTCAGATCTCAGCCTACTTAATAGCTAGAATTACAGGTGTGAGTCACAGGTGTGTTGCAGGTGAATTCTTCTAGATCTTAAGTATATTTTTGTTTTTCCTTACAGATCTTCTCTTTATGAAGGAGTGTATATATCTTAAAATTTTCCCAAGTGGTAGTTTTGTTTTTAGCTTTCAATGTTTATATGAGAATTTGTGGGTAAGGTGAATATATTGTAAAATAATGCTGCATTTTCTCTTCCAACACTTGATTTTTCTCCTGCATATCCTGGGACCAAAGCTATCTCCTTTTCGTGGTTTTTTTTTTTTTTCTTGCTGATATTCATATGTTATGAACAAGCCTTAGGGCAGAGAACTTAGTCCACTGTAGGACACATTAAGTTTCAAGGGGAGCTGAGGAATTAGTCTATTTCAGCCAGCTGGATGCTAACTAAAGAAAAAAATAATTACAATTTTTGTTAGGCTCAACTCCTAGCTCAGCCTCATCAGTTTTTGTCATCAGTGTTTGGGTGAAGGCTTCCCTCACTTTCCTAGTTACCAGGAAGAATCACAGGTTCTTGAGATCTAATTATGAAAGGTATTTCACAAGGTGAAAGTTTTAGCAAGGATTTTTTTTATATGTAACAGAGTTAAGTAGGGAGAAATAGAAAATGAAAGAAACCTTTCTTGCTTTCCAAGCAGGATATGAAGAGTTAAAGACTCCAAAATAATTTTTTCACCATGGAGAATTACAATATATGAAAGAGTAAGGAGAGGGCTGGGAAGTTGGCTCAGTGGTAGAGCGCTTGCCTTGCATGCCTAAGGCCCTGGGTTCAATTCCTCAGCAAAAAGAAAAAAGCCGGAAGTGGCGCTGTGGCTCAAGTGGTAGAGCGCTAGCCTTGAGCTGAGGAGCTGAGGGACAGCGCCCAGGCCGAGTTCAGGCCCCACGACCGGACCCCCCCCCAAAAAAAAAAAAAAGAGTAAGGAGAATATATTTAAGTCCTGTATACTTTTAAAAGTTGAGAATGTTGCAACAAAGACTTACAGGTGCAAACAGTAAATCCTCTTTTGCAACCCAGAACTCATTGTTGAGTATGAGTTTTCACATATATAACAAGGAATATGATTCCTACAGTAGTTTGACGTGATGGGAGTAATGATACACATGCAAGTTGGCTCAGAATAAAGATGATGTAAAAGTTGCAGGGTGCTGGTGGCTCACGCCTGTAATCCTAGCTGTTCAGGAGGCTGAAGATCATGGTTCAAAGCCAGCATGAGCTGGAAAGTCCATGAGATTCTTATCTCCGATTAACCACAGAAAACCAAAAGTGGTGCTGCGGCTTAATGGTAGAGCACTTGCCTTGAGCTGAAGAGCTCTGGGACAGCTCCCAGGCTCAGAGTTCAAGCTCCTACAACTGACCAAAAAAAAAAAAAAAAAAAGAAAGAAAATGATATAAAAGTTAAAAAAATTGAGAATGTCTTAAAACTTGAGACTATCAGGCTAGTAATTATTGGAAGTAAAGATATTATCTGTCATTTTTTTTTTAAATTGGTCATGGGGCTTAAGGGGGCCTAGGCACTGTCCCTGAGCTTCTGTGCTCAAGGCTAGTGCCGTACCACTTTGAGTCACAGCACCACTTCCTGTTTTTCCGTGGTTAATTGGAGATAAAGAATCTCATGGACTTTCCAGTCAGGGCTAGTTTCAAACTGAAATCTTCAGATGTCAGGCTCCTGAGTGGCTAGGATTACTAGCGTAAACCACCAACGCTCAGCTTCTTTATAATAATTTAGAAACCTCTGTCAATAATTTTATCTTAAGGGCTGGGAAGTTGGCTCAGTGGTAGAGCACTTGCCTTGCATACCTGAGGCCCTGGGTTCCATTCCTCAGCACCACATAAGAAAAAAGCCGGAAGTGGCGCTGTGGCTCAAGTGGTAGAGCACTAGCCTTGAGCTGAAGAGCTGAGGGACAGCACTCAGGCCCAGAGTTCAGGCCCCACGACCGGACCCAAAAATAATAATAATAATAATAATAATTTTATCTTAAGTGAAATGTATAATTTCTTACATTATTAGTTACTTACACTTTTTTTCAGATAGTCTTAGGTATGTTAGTGTTTTCTATGTAACTAAATTTTTGGTACTTGAGACACTGAGAATTAGTCTTAGGTATGTTAGTGTTTTCTATGTAACTAAATTTTTGGTACTTGAGACACTGAGAATTTTCTATCTGTTCATCAGTCTTCTCTAAGATTTATTAGTTTTGTTTGAATAAGTTTAGTTCCCTTAGGGGAAATAACTAATCGCTAGTTTTTTTCCCCCAAATTGAAAGTGTCTTAATTGTGTTTTTTAAAGGAATAAGGTTATATCATAATTAACTGCATTTTACAAAAGCTGTAATTAGCTACTCTTTAATTCCTTTAATTTCACTGTTTTACTCTTCCTGAGAGTTATTTGCTTAATTTCAATGTGCTTCTTTAATAATATGAGATCACTAGAAAAATCCATGTCAACGACATAGAAGGGAAACTGGATAAAGAAACGTCAGCATAGATGAAGAAGTAAAAAGGCATATAAGTGAAAGAATAGAGAAGGAATGCGTCTGGTGGTAAGAGGAGATGAGAAAACAAATTTTTTTTTTATTTGAGGAAATGAATTCTTTTTACTGTGCTGGGACTTGTACTTTTATTTCATTATTTCTTGGAAAAGCATTTGTCAGTAAATATTGTTTAGATATTTTCCATTTATTTTATGTTTTTTTTTTTCCAGTCCTGGGGCTTGAACTCAGGGCCTAGGCACTGTCCCTGAACTTCTTTGTGCTCAATGCTAGCACTCTACCACTTGAGCTGCAGTGCTGCTTCCAGCCTTTTCTGTTTTTTTGGTTTTTTTTTTGGGTCCGGTCGTGGGGCCTGAACTCTGGGCCTGAGCGCTGTCCCTCAGCTCTTCAGCTCAAGGCTAGTGCTCTACCACTTGAGCCACAGTGCCACTTCCAGCTTTTTTCATTTTGCTTATGTAGTGCTGAGGAATGGAACCCAGGGCCTCAGGCATGCAAGGCAAGTGCTCTACCACTGAGCCACCTTTCCAGCCATCCCCCCTTTTTTTTTGGGTTGTGGGGCCTGAACTCTGGGACTGGACCACTGTCCCTCAGCTCTTCAGCTCAAGACTAGCACTATACCACTTGAACCACAGCACTTCTTCCAGCTTTTTCTGCTTATGTCGTGTTGAGGAATCGAACCTAGTGCCTCATGCCTGCAAGGCAAGCACTCTACCACTGAGCCACCTTCCCAGCCAGAGCCTTTTCTGTTTATGTGGTAGTGAGGAATCAAACCCAGGGCTTCATGCATGCTAGGCAAGCACTCTACCACTAAGCCACATTCCCAGACCATTTTCTTTTCTTTTTCTTTCTTTTTTTAATGCTGGTACTGGGGCTTGAACTCAGGATCTGGGCTCTGTCCTTTAGCTTTTTTTTTTTTTCCTGAAGTTGGTTCTACCAACCTTGGGCTCCACTTCCATCTTGGTTTTTTGTTTTTTTGGGGGGCGGTTTTTGGTTTGGTCATGGGGCATGAACTCTGGGTCTGGGTGTTGTCCCTGAGCTCTTCAGCTCAAAGCAAGTGCTCTACCACTTGAGCCACAGCGCCACTTCCAGTTTGCTGGTGGTTAATTGGAGATAAGAGTCTCAGGGAAGCTGTTCCTGTTCTGACTGGCTTTGAACCGCGAGCCTCAGATCTCAGACTCCTGAGTAGCTAACACCAGAGCCTGGCCTTCACTTGCATCTTTTTAGTGGTTAATTGGAGATAAAAGTGTTATGGACTTTCCTGCCCAGGCTAGCTTCATAAGGTGATCTTAAACTTAAGCCTCCTGAGTAGCTGATTATAGGTGTGAGCCACTGGGTGCCCACTTTTAGAATTTTAATTTATT